AATGCAATAAAAAACACACCTCAATATCTTCCCTGTAGCAGCAAACCTAAGTACTCACTAAATTGATGTTATTTATATAGGAAATAAATCCGACAATTTTTACGGAATATTTTAGTAGAAATCCAGCCAGGAAATGGAAATTCGCTTAGTCTGCAGGTTAGCTGCGGCGGGGGTATTTATAGGTTAAATTTGAAATAAAATAAGGCATTGACAACTCAAGCAATTTATATTGTGGAAATCATATCCTGATATTATAATATTAAGATTTGAGAAAATTTTAAATGTTTATATAACTTTAAAGAGGCCAGTTTTCTGTTAAAAAGAAAAAAAATGTATTGGTAGGGGTTTTTGTTCTTTCCTATTTGTATTAGTTTGAGACTTTACTGTTTAATACTAAGTTTTTTAGCTAAAAAATGTCATCAAGATATTAAGATCCATACATTAATCTTTCAGTGTCAATTGTTGGTTAAGAAGTGTGGTAAATCAAACAGAATTACTTAGAGAAAAATTAAAGATGCAAATATAATGATATTGGATTAAAAAATTATATAACTTTATATAAATTATACACTTAATACCTTTGTTTATAGGATTTACTCAATTGTTTTATTTATTAAGTACCATGAGTACATGTTCGGCCCAGCTTTAATTACATTTCACATGGGAATGACCACAGTTGTTCCAAAATACAATCATTATGCCTGCATAAGTTTGAAAATTGGAGTTAAGGCTTTGACCTTGGAGATCAGAAGTCCCAATTGCCAGTCAAAGCTGTAGCAAATTTTATTGTTTAAATGTGTCAATAACTGATTAATATTGTATAGATATACTTTTTAATAAAGACAAACCAAAAGGATAACTTTTAGCAAACTATATTATCATATGACACATATAAAGTAACAAAAACTATGAGAGAAAATAGAATTTTGACAGCAGCAGCTCATTCAACTGTCTTGAATTTGAATGAAAATACTTCAGCAAGATCAATGGGATTTATATTTTAGTATCAAAATTCAATGGTAAAAGCATGAACTGAAAACCCAAACACAACCCAAGATTAATTGAATTCAATAATACATTAAAATTAAAATTATGGAGGGTAGGAATACAAATTAAAATGCTATGTACAACTCTTATTTCTAAACATCATGAATTATCAATGGGTGGATAAAGATATATTCAAATCAAGTTAGCCTATTTAATCTATGAGCAGTTGCATTACATATGGTAAATAACATTTTAGAAGCGTCCCATATATAAGTTTGGAAAGCAAGCGTGATTGTCTTATAAAAGCTAATTATCATTTAAGAGGAATATCTTTGATATTCTACATTTGATATTCAGGATGAGCTACAGAGAATAACTTATCTTAAATTCTATTCTACATTGTAAAACATGTTTGGTGCATCTTACAAATAATTTATGGGAGTAATGTGTTACTGAATTTTTCACGTTAATATAGAGTAATTATATATTTACTAGTGGCTTGTAGGGGCAATAGCCCCTATATGTATATTTTAGTAACTATTTTGTACAAATTACATGTGGGTTACCTTGAATTATCGTTTAACATTTGTGTATGTTAACACTGGTTTTTTTCAAATAAATGCCAACTTTTGTGAAGGTTTGGCCTTGCACTTTATTTATAATAATAGTGAAAGCTATTTCCAATGGGCATTGAATCCTTGTAAACTTAAACGGCATAATGAAGATCTGTAGATATTAGTTTAATTTTTGGCATGAAAAATATGTCCCCTTTGCCTACTCCAGTAATTACTTCTATCTTTACACTTATTTCAGACATACCTACACAACCAATCGTACTTCATTAACTCCAGACCCTTAAATTTGGGAAAAAGTTTATATCAGCTTTATAAATAGTACGAGAGGTCGTCCAGTGGTCGAAACTCGACCAAAAATATGTAATGTACTCACTTATCTATTTTCACCCCACACTGTAAATAAAACATGTGATTGGAGTTTCCTCCATTTGTTTTGATTTTCTGTTTATATTTCGTTGTTATTTCGTAACCAGCATAGCAACGCATAAGATCCATGTTAATTTTTTCAAATTTTTAAACTCATTTTTTGTGCTTATCTTTGAGCCTATTTAAATTTATAAAGGGATTCTGCACACCTACAGGAAAATAGCTTTCCAACGGTATGCGTAGATTTTCCCTACGATTCACACGAGCTGAGAAAAAAGGTTTTAAAGAAACATGCTTGCCTATTAATATATAGATCCTACACATATTAAAGTAATGACATTACATACCATATGCTTTAAATAAAGTTAAACCACATGTTTAAAAGTAAACAAAGCAGACATGACCTAGATTCCCATGCTATTTCAATGTGAATTATTTTATTCCGTAGCAACTTTTTGGTGCAAGATTATGAAAAATGAATAATTTTCCCCAAAATTTCATGCCCAGACCTTTAAAATGAGACCTCTCCCAGCTTTCTACGGCCTCCCGTTAGCTCACAATTTCATTGTAAAATTTTGGGCTTACAGAATTAGATATATAGATTATGAATATAATAAAAAATGTTCATGTTGATTTCTTAAATGATCAAAATTCTATATCATATAACTTAAGTAATCAGTGGTTTGTGGAACCATAGACAAAAAGAATTGAACATAGATCGACATCAGTGCTGCGGTTAGCATATATTCTGGCGTCCACTGCTAGGATTGCCATTTAGACACGGCGCACACCGCTGCAGTGCAAGTGTGGTACTGCTGGTAGACGGTGAGGAGCCGGACGCCAAGCACGCTCTAGTGGCACTTCGCAGAACCTTCTCAGTATATCATTGACTATATACACAGAATGTGTATAGCCAATGATTATATTAATTCTATTTGTCTATGGTGGAACCCAAAACAGTGGTTTTGTACATGTGATTTCTGTGTCTCTGGAATTGTATAGAGCTATAGTGGTCTGATTTTGATGAAATTTGGTATGTTATAACTTAGTCCTATCCTTTTTTTTACCATTAACAAAATGGCATAACTCCCAAGCTGTACAAATTACAGTCAAAAATTAATTACATTTTTTTATTTTCACTATAACATTTACTAAGTAGGTACCGGTACTGTACCTATATGATGTTCAATTTTAAAGTCAAGCTAATGGAGGCGGTTTGTGTCAGTTTGCTAATACCGTTTACTTAATGTATTGTTGTGGGCCTAATCTATTCATCAGTAAGTGATTTTAGGCAATTATTTTTTTAATAGATGCAAATGATGGTCTTTGTGGAAGTAATAATATTAAAACTTACAAACAAATAATTGACAAACAAACATATTAAATAAGTTTTTGTTAAGCCTACATAAAAATCCAAAAAAAATATTCCTGCAAGTATAATCTAATTATTCTCAGAGATAAAGAAAGTTTAAAAACACCATCATCAAATTAGGTAATATGATTTATAGTAACGGTAGGAAACATTCAATGTATAATTTGTAGCAAAGTTCCTAGTAACACAAATAACTTTATCTAATGTATAAAAAAATCTGTTCATTCTATAATTCATGTGCAAAACCCTGGATAGTAACAAATAAAATAGTTTTTAACTGCTCAAACTTTAAACAACAATTCTGTTTTTGTTACAGATTTTGGAGTAAGAAATATAAATACATACTCTGGGTATACATGGCAAAATATGGGTATGTACTAGCAGAGATAAAAGGAGTAGACATAACTGTCTATTACATGTCTACTCTCTATATGGATCTAGTTAACTTTTTCTGAACTATCAACACAATGAAAAACATACTCTCTGTCCAATTTCTTGTATCTAATGAAAAGTGTATTTGTACAGAATATGATTGAATGGTTTGTTTGTTACACTGAGAAAAAGTAAATTATTGGCTACCTGATAAAACATGCCGATTTGCTGCTTTTAAAAACAGATACTATACTTAATTCAGTAAATAATTTATTGTATGAGTAAAGCAATGGTTTTTAGGTAGAAATATTTACTTTTGATTGTCTGTGATCGCCTTAAGCAAAAATAGTACCGGTAGGTAATGTACACACAAGTCGGATCAATGATTCCATATCAATGTTTCTGTTTCGATTAAATAAAAAAAAAAACAAAGAAAAAATTTGAGTTATATGAACTACACAGTAATTTAAAAAAATCTAGCATAAGATGAAATAATAGTATAACATATACACAAAACACATTACAATTTGATATAAATTAAATAGAAACATGTTTGAATCTATGAACACGCATTGTTGAAATAATTTAATCACGTAATTAAGCCTACTAAACACAACAACCCTCTAAAAGTCTTTTCTTAAACATGACCCTGCAATCCGTTTCACTCAATAGAGAATCACTAGCAGAAAAAAAATTGTTCTGTAGTAAACATCAAAACAACTGTTGTGTGTTTTTTGTATATGTAATGGAAACAATATTGATGCAAAACTCCATTTCCTAACTGTAATCACATTTGATTACTTTAACACTTTATTAACACATCTAAAACACAGTTGAAACGACAAAACATGCACCGGTTTACATGTTTCCCTATTAGACAGAAAAATAACAATACAAAATTTGGATTACTCACACACAAGAAAACATTAACTTTTAACATCTCATATAAAAACCTAAACTATGGAATTTAATATTAACTAGCGTAAGCAATACACTTTGGTGTTTTTTGTAATATAAAAACAACTATGAGGTAGGATATCGCAATTTTTAACAATAATGTAGGGTTATTATGATTTTTAAAGTATTTAGTCATAGTGGAAAAATTCATAACTATTTAATTTTTAATTTCATGATGGTTGGCCACTGGATCGTTAAAATTAGCACTAATAAGGTTTATGTTACCTGGCTTCTGAAGCCAGCCAGGTAACATAAACCTTATTAGTGTTAATTTTTAACACGTTTGCGCCGATAATTTTTTTGCTGATTTGTTAAGTCTTTGAAAACTCTGACGTGTACCACTGATGGTACAAGCAGAGTAATCCCCAAAAGAAAACTCCGACGTGCGCCACCGGTGGACACCGCTACTATGGTGATTGTATGCAACAAAATGGCATTTCGGAGTCTTTTTTGGGGTTATTACTATGTAGGCCTATTATTCGTGTTTGTAGAAGCCACATGATACATGTCAACGGGTGGTACATGAACAAAATTCAGTTTACATTAAAAATAAAACACCAAGTGTCAAAAAATGTTTTTATTTATTAAAAAAAAAATGTTTGATATAAAAGATTTAACTAAAAAGTATTTTTTTACTGCTTAAAGTTTGTTTTTAAGGTCATGGAAAGTACTTGTTTTCAACATGATGATAGATGATATGATTATAGGTCAATGTGTACCATGGGTGTATGGTTTAATTAGCATATTATTATCTTATTTTGTTACTGAAACTTTAGAAGTAGTGTACAGTTGATAAATAAAAATTTATATATATATAATTATTCCTATAAACACACTTTTTTTAGTCTATGGTAATTTGTATACAAATTTACTTTTGACTGAAATTTCATTCGTGCACCACCGTTGGCCACGTTGGAGCAAATGTGTTAAATATCAGGAGTATTCCTTATGTAAAGTGAATAATCTTAAAGGAAAATCCTTGACTGTTAGTCAAAGGTAAAATATAATAACTATAAATTTCAAAGTTAGTTGATTTGGTACCTCCTTTACAAGTCATAAATAATGTTAGTAAAAATTACAGAAATTAGAAGAGCTTCAAGCCGAAATGGACAACAATTTTATTTTTATAGATGTGTATTAAGATACAAAACAGTTGCCTATACCATAAATATAGGCTACTTCTAGAAAATTGGAGTTTATATTCCTATTTTATGCAGTTATCGTTTCATTTTCAAGTATTATTTATCTAAAAAATTTGATATTTCACCAGTAGGAAAAGACATTTTTTTTTCAGAAATAAATTTACTTCAATTTTGATTATAACACATGTATTTTGGCTATTTCTTTGATGAAAACAATAATTTTAATTGTTTATTTAAATACAGCACTTGACTAAGAGATGGTATATTTTAATAATTCATATAGATTTCTGCAAACTAATGTTTTTGGCGAGTTAGAGTGAATAATGTTCATTCAAAAATGCTGATGTTGGGGTTTTTTATTTAAAAGTATTTGAAATCTCTTAGATACATTTTAAGATTATTAACAGGTCGTATTCACCTTCATTACACTATTGAGGACACTTTGTTTTAATAGTTTTGCAAAATAAAACAATAAAGTTTAAAAAATTTTGCTATCATCTTAGTGCTTTGCAGCCTTACATAATTGTTCAAAGCCAGCTTATTTTTCAAACATATAACTTAAAATTCATAAATAAATTATTAAATTTTAGTATATAAAATGCTCTTTAAAGAGGTGAGGTGTCGTTAAAACAACTCAGCCTCTTCTAATACAAGGCTGTGGCAGGTAAAAGTTAACAATGCCACACTCCTGGCCTACTGAAACAGCTGTAGCACTAATTCATATGTGACTGTACTCTGTTTACACGTTCGTTCCTATATTGTTATTACCATAGCAGGCCGGTGAGTTTTCCGCGGCTTTGTGTTAGAGAAGACTTAGTTAAAATCATATTTGCAAATATAATTTATACACTCATAACAAATACTGTAATGATTATTATATTAAAATACAAATAGCAAGCGTGTATAAAATCTATTGTTAACAATAAGAAAGTTCAATTTTAAGAGCTGAATCAAGGGTTAGTTTTATTGAGATCACTAATAAAATATAGAACAGTTTTCTGCTAACAGTATCTATCCTATGTAGTGTTTTGCTGTATCTATTCAGGTACATTTATTGAAAAGTGATTTAGTTATATAAGGCTTTTGTGAAATTATGCATGTTTTTCTCCCCATTTCCAAGTACATTTTTTGCTTTTTGGTTTTGTTATAACATTTACAAATATTTGAAAAAACCCCAACACAATATTTATTTTCATATCACTTTGAAATATTTAACATTGAATGAGTAAAGTTATAACATCTAATTAGATATTTCAAGCCTTTGGCTGTCTCAATTTTATTAGCAATATCAGAAAAACTCACATTCACCTGATTCAAACTTTCAATTTCTAAAATCTTCAGGATTTTTTAGTAAACAAGTTCTGAACATCCACAACGCTTATATACTTTTATAAAAAAGTGAACAGTCGCAGAGGCAGAAGTCTCACTGCAATGTAGAGGGAAACTATAACAGCTGTTTCTCATCAGAATCTAGTGTAAGGCACTCCCTCAGGTAATCCTCCATGGAACTGTATGCATGAGGTAACACACCAACCAAGTCGTGTCCCTGGTCTGCGTAGCTCTGAAAGACATCAATATATCATGAGGTAACACACCAACCAAGTCGTGTCCCTGGTCTGCGTAGCTCTGAAATACATCAATATATCATGAGGTAACACACCAACCAAGTAGTGTCCCTGGTCTGCGTAGTTCTGAAATACATCAATATATCATGAGGTAACACACCAACCAAGTAGTGTCCCTGGTCTGCGTAGCTCTGAAAGACATCAATATATCATGAGGTAACACACCAACCAAGTCGTGTCCCTGGTCTGCGTAGCTCTGAAAGACATCAATATATCATGAGGTAACACACCAACCAAGTCGTGTCCTTGGTCTGCGTAGCTCTGAAAGACATCAATATATCATGAGGTAACACACCAACCAAGTCGTGTCCCTGGTCTGCATAGCTCTGAAATACATCAATACATCATTAGGTAACAAACCAACCAAGTCGTGACCATGGTCTGCGTAGCTCCGAAAGACATCAATACATCATTAGGTAACACGCCAACCAAGTCGTGTCCCTGGTCTGCATAACTCTGAAATACATCAATACATCATTAGGTAACACGCCAACCAAGTCGTGTCCCTGGTCTGCGTAGCTCTGAAATACATCAATACATCATTAGGTAACACACCAACCAAGTCGTGTCCCTGGTCTGCATAGCTCTGAAAGACATCAATATATCATGAGGTAACAAACCAACCAAGTCGTGACCATGGTCTGCGTAGCTCTGAAAGACATCAATACATCATTAGGTAACATACCAACCAAGTCATGGCCCTGGTCTGCATAGCTCTGAAATACAAATAAATTTTTACAACTACACCACTGCTCTAGGCATTTTATTTTTTGTACGCAAATTTAGATTTTTAATGCTGACTTTCCCATCAAACCCCAAACATAACAGAAAAAATGGGTTTTTTCATCATAAAAACGGCTTGAAAAATTTTGATTAATGTAGTATGTTATGCCCTTTAAACTCTAAATGAAAAGGAACTTCAATGCTGTAAAAATTATAGTTTAAAATTTATTGCAACTTTTGTGATTTTACCTATAAAATATCATAGTTACTCTCACCCTCCATGATTAGGGTTGTTGACCAGCTAATATGAGAAAGTATGGGTCAGATTGTTCATACCATTTATTTTTAGTATTGTTAGGTTTTGGTGTATCATTATTTCAGTTTAATTAATATTAGTTTAAAGTACATGTATTTAGAGATTAATAGAGTAAATGACTTTTCAATATCTCAGGGGCAAAAATTATCACCATCCTGAGAATAAACTAAGAACATGAGTCAGAAAACACTGATTTCAAAATATTATAATATATTGACAACTCGTTTAATTCATTCAGGAAGAATAACGCAACTTACTTAAGAAAAGAGTGCCAGAAGACACACAACAGTTTTACAAGATTCGTTTGAATTTATCCCCACAAAGATATACTTCTCCAGAAGAAAGCCAATGAAATCTAAAGAAGCATCAGGGGGGGGGGGTTGTGACCACTCACCTGATATCTGTACATGATATCCTCCTTGGCTAGGGAGTGAGCCAGTGAGACACTGTGCTGATAAGGCACGGTCATGTCCGCAAGACCATGGATCAGGAAGATGCTGTGGCTGGGGATGTGTTTGGATCTCTGTGTCGCATCTGCCTCTACGTACATCTTCACATTTTCATTCGGGTAACCCATAATTCTTTCCGTGAAAGCAGAATCTGTAATAAATTGTAGAGTTGCAGATGGAAGCATAAAATAAAAGAAATTGAATAAAGATCCTCCCCTTTCCTCCCCCCGGTTCTATCATGAAAAAGTCAGTGGGTTTTAATGTTTTGAGGCTGTTTCCCATTTGTCTTTGATCTTTGGGCTTTTTAATCGTAGGACTAAGAGGCCGGTGTCATAACTTAATTCTCGGTCTTCCAGCGAGAGCAACGTCAAGTTAGTATTACACTATGTATTTATACTATGAAAAATACACCATCAGTATAAATGCCAACTTGATGCTGCTCTCACCGGAAGACTTTTTAATGAACAATGGTATAGTTTTGGCCAGTAACAAAGCTAAATAAACAGTGTTGCTGTCCGTATTAATTTTTTCCTACTATTTTGGGGACCTTATTAAATTATCCAATTTGAAAACCAGAATTTCAATTCACTCACTGTAATACTGCCAGTCTGAGATCGGAGACACTGCGATGCCACACTTGAATATCTTCTGTTGTGAGCCCAGGACCATTGTGGTAACATAACCTCCGTAGCCCCAGCCCCACAGAGCTATTCTGGTCTGGTCCAGGAACTTGAACTCCTCCAACATGTACCTACATGACACAACCCGTAATGATTTGCTGTTACACACAGGAAGATTTACAGTGCCTCCCCAAGTCACTATTCTTAAAACCCCCCCCCACTACCCCTGCTATGTACGAGTAAGTTATCCTTTAGGCAGGAATTCTTTAACAATTTTAAAATGAATAATTAGTTTTATTTTGTTATTTGAGGGCTTATCGTGCACATTTTTATCATACCGGTAGTTTAAAAAAAGAAGTTGTATGATTTTTAAGGATCTGGAATCTGATTCCATCTTCGGGTGAGAAAGTGACTAAAAAACATAAAACATACTAAAATCTAACAAGACGAACGAACCCATGCATAATTGCACGTTTATTGTTCAAAACTCGCCTCATAAACTGGTAAAGCATAATGAATTTTGCAATACCATTTCATCTTTCAAAGATTACTTTGTAACTAAAAAGTTTAACATTTAAGACAAAAATCATCAAATTACAGTAGTATTTTAGTTTGCAACAGATTAGATTAATAAAACTACTTATTTACAACAAGTAAAACATGTCGATTGTACAAAGTACATCCATACCATAAAGGGTGATTTACTTACCTCAGTCAAGTTACAAATTTTATTATCAATCAAAAATGTTATTTGAAACCCAGACATCGGTTTTGTCTTGTGTTTACAATCTGCTGTGGTTAAAAACTCAACCTAAGGTCAAAAAAGCTGGTAGATTAATATTTATTTTTAAGGCTGTCTTAAAGATATAAAAGCAGGCAATCAAAGGCTTGGGGATGTAAGAAAATCACTACTAGGGATCCATCTTCTTATTTACCATTCAATCTTGCACTAGATCATAAGATTTAAACATTTAAATGGTTATTAGGTATGTAAACTGAAGGATAAGTTATCTATCACCTACTTTAGTCTTGGGTGTTTGTTTTTTATCTTAAGTCCAAGCTAAAGACGACAGTTTTATTTCACTGACTGGTCTCTTAACAGTCTGCTTTGAGATATACAAAAAAAAATTAAAATGTTTGACCGTTCCTAAAATAGATGCAGATTTCACATCCTGAAATCACGTACCTGAGTGCATGTATCTGATCCTGCACCTCTACTCCCCCGAGACGTCTGTAGAGCGTGCGACTACCGTGACCTCGTGAACCTCGCACGTCCAGCTTGACGTACACAACGTCGTTCTTACTAGACATGTACGTTCCCCAGCTCAGCTCAAACTTCTCCGACACTGACTGGCTGCCTGGCCGACCGTTTCTGTATCAAATTTATAAATTGATTGGAGGTAATAAAACCATATGTTCGTAGTGAAGCACAATAATTTTTCTATTGTTATAACGAGGGAACCCGTGCAGAAACTGTGCATACCAAAAACTGTGCATAGGGATTAAAACTCGTCTCTTGGTTACCAAACACTGTAATACCCTTTTATCTTTCAAAGATTATGCTTGTTTAAAACTTAATATTATGTGAATAAAACTGCTAATTTACTAACTCAGAAAAGGTTTATAAAATTTGTTTATTGCAGATTATACTATAAAGATTGATTTTCCTACCTCCATCAGGTTACAATTATTTCTATAAATAGTCTCGGCCACAGAGAAGCCTCGTTTAGTTATGTAAAGTCATAAACTATTTTGTCTCTTGTTTACCATCTGACTGTACTGTGCTTAAACACTCAATTAAAGGATCAGCTGTTATTAATTACGATTCACATTAAATAATACCTAAGAGGCTCCAGACATGCGCCATTCGCCAAGCACCGAGCAGCAGGGCATAAAATAACATGTTAACAGTGCTGATATTTTGTCGCCCAGTGGTTATGGATGGTGCCGGCATATTTTTTTTAATGATTCACATTTCAAATGTACCGGTATTGGGATTTTAAAAGTATTTATAAAATAACATTGTGTAAATATTTATAGAATTCATAATTAAGTGACATTATATATGGACGATTTACAAGCAAATATAATCAAAAAATTCATTACAAGATACTTAGAAATGTGTGATTTTCACTTTAATTGAAGCAAAATTACTCCGTGCCACTGTCGCCTAGTGGAAATCCCTTAAAATATGCTCTGCCGAGCAGCGACTCGCCAAATCGCGAGTAGTGTGGATATAGGTGTGTGCCTAGTTGGCGAGCAGCAAACATTTGTGTTTGTGATTTTCTGTTCATTGTTGGTGTTTCAACACACATCAAAGTGAACTAATTATATTTCCTATTCCCGAAAAGACCAGTCGCTTGGTAAACAACACATGCGTGTGTAGATGTGTACTCGTTAATCGGCGAATAGCAAGACAACTAGATCGCCGAACGTCAAATATTTTGAGTTAGGTGAATGGTGAATGGCGCATGTCTGGAGCCGCCTTAAAGAAAGTTGATGAGCATTACTGGAACTTTGAAAGTGAACTTTAGAAATTAATATTAAACACACCGTCACTGAAAGGTGGCAATTCCTGGTATCGAGGTTGGCTGACAACCATGTTTTAATATGAGTGTGGTATATGACTCTTATTTACAATTTTTTCTCAATAGGGGATTTTTATTGATAAGCATGTAGTGGCCAAGTCATCAAAATACAGATCTGCCTAGAATAAATACGGTACAATTTAAGTCAAAATGTTCTAAATTTTCCTTGGTTTTGAATTATTTATAAATCAATATTGCAATCACAAAATTACCAATAAGTAACAAAATCAGACTGCTGTTTGAATGTAACCAACATATTTTTACCACATGAACAGAGAATAAAAAAGTTCACATTTGCAAACTTACTTTTAAAGACTGAGTACTTCTCGGTTAAAAGAATCAAGAATCAATTTTAGGGTCAATACATTTTAACAGACTTTAAAATAGTCAGATCGAATTATCACGACTACACACTTAACATTAAACAAAATTATATTTGTTAACAGTACACAGAGCAATATACTTACACCTCCACGAGGACAGGGTAGGAAGCATCCCTTAATTCCTGTCTCCAACTCGGAGGCAATAACAGCTGCACTTGAGCTCTGTAGCCCTGTGGCAAAGGCACCTAGGACAAACAGTGTCATTGTTTTATCTTTTCAGCATTACAGTATTACTGCTCCCGCCGTATACATGTTAAACATATTTAAGCTGCCCTGTCGGAATTATGACTTAAAATATTTATTGTACAGCTAAGTGGGTACCTATAAAATTGGGGAATCCTGAAAATAGGTTCTTGCTTACCACAATTGACAAAAAAAATTTGGCGAGGCATTAAAGAATAACTTTCAGAACATAATACCATAGATTAAACATACTCCCATATGATAATACTTTGCACTGTAAATTAGATGGATCTGAATTTATAGATTATTCTGAGGATTAGATATATTTTCATTTCCTACATATATATTTTTACCTAAAAAACTAATTTTAGCCTTTTAGGGTTGATTTTAGCCTCACAAGTGACCAGTTAGACATCTTTAACAGCTGAATTTCTTTTTCAAGCTGATTTAGGGCCTCCATTCATGAGAATTCAGTCATTTCAAGGTAAATTTTATTTCTGGGTTTGAACTCATCCTCAACCAACCTCAAAGCTGCGCATCTTGGGCAGAGCCAGCTGATTGAGCTTCTTTCCGCATTGTGTTTTCTTGTTGAACAACACCCGCAGCAGCTGGTGGTTGGTTGTGTTGTGTACCCCTGCTAGAGGAAGCTGCGGACCTTCACACAGCAACACGTAATGCCTCATCCCCTCCGGACCTAGAACAATACACATTCAAACAATCAAGTTAGAACACGTTCTCATCAAACATAATGACAATCAAGTGCCTTTCTGCCATCAGGAAACAAGTCAGCTGTGGAACTTTCATTGAACAAAACATATCACTTGCCAAATCAAGAGCTCTACAATATATTATAGCTTATAACTTCCATATTATAACTTAACTATACTCGAGTACATATTATAACTACTTATACTTGGCGACACAACATTAGACATGCATCAGACTTCACCCTTCCAATTTACAAGCACTCACATGAAAAAAAAAAACGCTCTATATAGGAGCTGGATATTTTAACCATTATTATCATTATTATTTGTTGCGAGCCTGGTGGTAAATGTCTCAGAGAGTTCTGTATGAGAGGCCCAGGAGGGACCGGTTTCCTTTGCCAGCCAGCACACTAATACGAGTAAGTACTCGTATATCTCTTAAAATGGTTCTAAACTCTTTTAGAAAGGCAAGATAACTAAATGACATTACTTTCTCCATCAGGCGGCATAAGGCTTATATAGGCGTTGAAGTGGCTGCAGTTGATGTAGGTGGAGCGAGCCCGAGCGCCTAAGTAGGTGGTGAGGTCGCATGTGAGACATTGAGGTTCCAGATGGAGAGGTGTGTCAGTGTCAGGGTCTTGCACCACATACAGGTGTCGCTGCCCAGGACTACGCTCATGTGTGCCTAGGTAGTACCTACAACAGGTTGAACATTTAAAAAACTTCAAATCTTAAATACATTTAAACCTCTCTTTTCCTACTTGGACAGTTCATTTTAACACTCAACGACTAAACAGGATCGAGGCAACTTAAACAGTTCCCTGTGATAATCACGGGTCATGGTTTTCTGAAGAAGCACCTACGTTGCTTAAAGATCCACCAAAACGGGACATAGCCATAGCATGCAGGAAGTGTCGGCAGTTTGGGACTGCAGACCATTTACGGTACTATATGGCTGTTGAAGAGGATCATTTATTTAAAACAGCAAACATATTGTCAGACGAGCACTATAACCTCAGCTACCCAGCAGCCAGTTAAATTTTGTATGGGTTTTGCTACTTACACCAGATGGTTAATGGAGTCCCAGGCCAGTATCTCTGTGACCTCGTAGTGTCCGTGACTGATGACTGCTATCCTCTGCTGTGTCAGGGTCACATGTTTAATGTGTGTAAATGTGTCGATCGCTCCCTCCTGTACTGAGGCCAGCAGCAGGAAGCTGTTACCATCTCGGGAGAACACTGGGTGAGGCTGGACCTCCAGCCACGTGCCTTCCGCTCTCTCCGAGTGTTTCTGAAACAAGGATAAGTTTTATTTTTTACGTAATGTTAACAAATTTGGTTATACAGCTTATATTTTGCATGTCTATAGCAATCCATGAACAATGTACACCTGTTGCATACAAGAACGATGTGCATGTGTTTCTTTTATGTACATGTAAAAGTAGTATTATATCAGCCCATAGCATTTGTTCAGTAGGCACACTTTCTCTTTTTCTGGTTTGGTATAATTATATTTGGTTCAAATCTCTGATGGTTATGGTTTTGAAAGATTGTTGAAATACACAAAATTGCAATACTTTGTTCATAGCTATGCAAAAATACAAGTCACTGATTGTTTATCTTAAAATACGGTATATATATTTTTAAGAAAAGGTAGGTGTTTTCACTAGGGGTGTTTTCTGAAGGAAGAGAGTTTATCATTCATTATCATTACTTGGAGACAGTGACACACATCTAGGTACATATTTTGAGCTGAAGATGAGTGATAGAGAAAAGATGAGTGTAAAAGAAATGAGAGTAAAAGATGATCTGTGTAGATTTATTACTGACTATGATCAGTTTCTTTACACAGGGTAATTTGTTTAAAGCCCAAATTAAGCTGGTTTACCTGAGAAAAATTAGAATCCAGATGCTAACAGATACACAAGTCAAGGAAGGGTTAAACACATATTTCACTTAACCCTTTGACGTTTCATCCTAAATATAGGACTGAAATTGTTTGTGTGTCCAACTCTTGAACTCTAATTGACTGTGGTAAGCTAAACTCTATTCCTTTCCAAACAAATCTTCCTTTGTTTAATTTATTTTGTTTTTCATAGTTATCTGCACATTGTTTCTCAAGTTTACAATTAGAACAAATAGGTACAACATAATAAATATTCTATTTTTTGGGATGTTAATGGAAATGAAATAAGTATATTATAAAAAAACAAACTTTTTTTATTCTGTAAACAACTTTGAAATGCATTTTCATAAATATTTCCAACATGAATGTTTACTTAATTAAAGTTAGCTAACACATCATTTTAATAGAAAAAAATTAAACTGGAAAATGAAACACTTTTTAACGAGCGACCTTTAGTTAAGCGTATATAGTGCATGGGGATAACAAGCATTATGTTTCATTAACAAGGCCTCAAGGAGCTTAGTTTAAGACCATAGCTGTATAATGAGCTAGTGTGACCACCATCCCCCACAAATCATGCTTAGGGCGTAAGCTGAGTCCTGAATAGATGTTTTGTAAGGCTGTTTCAAATATGAAAAGATAAATGTATTTGGTTGTTATAAAATAAGTATTCCATTTTTCATCCCTAATAATTTTAAAATTCTGGCAGAGAATAGTGATGTGTGTTTAACAAAGTTTTTTAATGCATATCTAATCTATTGCTAAGATCTCAAAGGGTAAAATAGTAATTAAAAACAACAACAAAGAACTCTGAAAAAAATTTAAGAAACAGTAAGCTTGACGAAGGAAGAAAATATGAGTGGAATATTTGTGTTGACAGTTATGGATGGAAACATTGATTTAAATGAGGGAATAAAGTGAACAGTAATATCAGGGAAGAAATCCTGAATAATCCATTAACAAAATGGAAAGACGAGAGAAAAATACTTACATAGAGAACAATTATTAAGAGAAATATGCGGCAGATTCAGAAACAATCTCAGAATGTTTTGTGTGATCCCTCATGCCTCATTCACAATAAATATAAGACCTAATGTCAATTAAGGGGGCCATGAATAATAACTTAAAACGACCATTCATGAATATGAGAAAAGTGTTATTAAATAAATAAACAAATGAATCATACTTTTTGATAAATAGTTATTTGTGTAACTAGTGAGCAAAGGCCTTTTGCACTTGTGTTGCACATTATATTTTTCTTACAGTCACTATAAAGCATATAAATTAATTTTAGAGTAAATTGACAAAAATGAAGAATGCATACCTCAACACACTGCCAGTGGGGGGTACTACAACTACTAATAATTGTAAGATTCTGGGGCCGATTCATCCAGATAGCTGCCACTTGTTGGTTGTCATCGTCTATCCAACCAGCTGACGTCAGATAGTAGTCTCTGTCAACAGATCATATGAGTAGATAATATTTTTAGATAATTATTTAATTATTAGTTAATTATTAATTATTAGTTAATTATTTATAATATATTGGATAATATTATAAATAAACTGTAGAAGCAAACTAACACATACTTTTTCTCATTAGCTTGTCAACAACCTTACAGTAGAACCCCTCATATCCGGCCTTGGTTTTACCGGTCCTCTGTTTATCCGGCCCCTTCCAGGAAGCCAATATAACTGTGATATTTCATGGGGAAAATCACAAAAGTTGCAATAACTTTTGAAACATAATTTTACAGCAATGGGGGCTATGCCATTTTGTTAAGAGTTAAAAGGGCTATATATGTGAAATTTAATATTTTTTTTATTCAATGTTTAATGGGGAAATAACTTCAGTTCGAATAACTTTTGAAACGTAATTTTTCACAGCAATATGCATGAACTAGACTAGATGGTATGGGGTGGTAAGGTATATTTAAAAAAATCAATGGTACCTAATTGTATATATTTTTTACAGTGCATAATAATGCACTGTAAAAAATATTACAGCCACATCTCTTCTGTGTCCCCCACAGAACACAACAGTAAAATAGCAAGAAAATTCTGTATTGTTGATTCTCACAAACCATATTCAATGACAAAAAGTATGACTATAAACGTTGACTTACTGGTCTTCAAACACCTCAGGAGGCCGGACTTCTTTGTACTTTTCTTTGGTGTTGTTGAGATCAGCTAGCCACAGCTTGACAGATGGGTTGGGGGAACCAGGCTGCAAAATACCAGGATTTTAATTTAGAAAGTTGCATTGGATTTAGATAGTTGACTTATTTTATTGTTAGTATCATCATCATCATGTAATAATAAGTTAATTATTTTTTTCCATTATACTAGTTCATTAGATACATTTAGTAAGCAAAAGAGTTAAAGGTAAAGTAAAATTCAGATTTTTTTTTTTATGAAAGGCAAACCAAACTACAAGTAAAGAGAGCTACTGTTAGGGACAAAACAATCTCATAAGTTGACAGTCTTGCTTCCTTTACTTCATTACAGATCAGCTTATATGCATTGTTGAATTGTTGTCTGCACTTCAGTGTTATTAGGAATTTATTGTTAATAAAAGCCCCGTTCACACGAGGCGAGTTTACAAGCTACACGCTGGCTTTTTTACACGCAGCTCGTAAAATAGCTCAGTGTGAACAATGTACACGCTTAAAAGCTGCTTTTAAAAATGCTCTGGAAAAAGTTGACTCTGCGGCCTTTACACGCCTACTGGCCATCAGTTTTTCAGCGATCTAGCGTGTAGCCCAGTTTGAACACAGTTGCTTGTGCTTGTGCGCATATGATTGGAAGATGTCGGAGGAGTAGGTTCTAGCGGGAGTTGTAGTTGTAACAAAAGTGATTAAAATGAATTGATTAGATGGCAAGATGAGAAACGGAAAAGAAGGAAAGTGTGATTGAGACAGTGGGTAGGGAGACCTACGGATTATGCTGCATCAAAAACATTACTTTATTTTGGATTTCAGCTGTTAATTCTGTTTTCGCAGGCTCTAATATTAGGTATTGTAGAAGAAGTACCTAAATCATTTGTTTGATAAACTCTAAATGTCCACATTACTTTGTTTTTATGTTCAGTTAAAGCTGAGGCACCACTTTGAATTTTAGAAGTAGACTACATGAATCATAGCTAAACGATACGATAAACTCTATTAAATTTGAAACAAACCTAGAAGTTATAAAACAGATAAAATGCTCTAATTGAAGAAGAAAAATATGGGAGCAGTGAATCAAGATTTTATTTGGACCAGAGGGCATGACATATGTAAGTAGTAAGTAGTAAGTAGTAAGTACTAGGAATTAACTAAAAAAAGAAATAAAGTTGTTGAAGAAACAGGTTAAAAACAGTTTGTATATGGTAGAGGGATTCAGCAGGAGGAACTAAGAACTCAAGTTAATGTGTAGGGAATGACCAAAAATCATAGATAGCGTGATTGGTAAAATAAATTAGATAGGTATGAAAGGCACAGGTATATCCAGGTAGGGGTATAGTACTCGGCTCTCACTGTAGGGTACCGGACGCTCCTCGACGCTGGAAATGTAGCTCCGTTCTCGGCTGCGGCACTCTCGGAGAGGCTGAACCATGGGAAATTGAAGTTCCGCACTTCAGAGTCGTTGAACGACGCAAATAGCAGATACGACCCGTCGGGCGAACACCACAACGCATCATGTGGAGGTGTCAGGACATCCTCTGTGGAGATAAAAGTGATTTAGGCTATATCTTTTAAGAGATATTAAAAATATTCTACAAAATATGATCGAAAAACGAATGCATTTGTTTGGTTTCAAGGCCAGTGGCTATTTTTAAGAAAGAACACCAGCTAACGCTTTCATCTTAAGGAAAAGCAATGACAATATCTCAAAAGAGTCAACCAACAGTAATCAAAACTCCTTAAACGTTTGGGTCACTCACTAAGTCAATCTTGTGAAAAATCTGATATATTTTCTAAACTATATTATTTATTTTTTCCCCTAACACAGCCAAACACAAAAGAGCAAAAAAACTACAACTATAACTAAATACTACTAACTGAAACGTCAATCCAAATAATTCACACACTTGCTTTTAAGTGGTGCCTTTGCAATGTGCAATTTGAGGAATAAAATTATTGATAAACACTTCAAAACAGTTAAACAGCTTTGAAAGGCGAGCCAAAGTATACTTGGCTGTGCATGAATAACAAGGCTTATTGCCAAGGCAATAAGGATAAAGGCTTTCCATATATAGACTGCCTGCTACGTTTTCACTTTTGATGTATACTTGCTTCTGCAAGATTATTTTATTGCAATTTGTGAGTTTATTATATTTTTTGAATATTGTATTAGATACCTATATGTTTAATATTGATAAAAATTTAATGGACTTTTGTATTTTGTAAAACGCTAGTCTCTTTATAGGAGATTATTACATAAAAATGTTATCTCAACAAATGTTTTTTTATTATTGTAAGAACTATTGTTCTGCATTTTATAAGACTTTTGTCAAAGGGATTAATGAATCGCCTGTTGTAAAAAGGGTCTACATATCTAGATAATCTAAAATATTGCTATAAAATTATTTTATAGCTTAATTGGCAAACTTTTGGTTTTAAAAACCCTCTAATATATTTTATCATAAAAACCCCCTAGAAGGTACCGGTACTTGTTGAACTATTAGAGGCCCCGCCTGTTCATCAGGGCCATCAAATATTTTCAATTCAATTAACAAAGTTGAATGGTTACATTAAGGTAAAATCCTTAGAACAACATTCAAAGTGTATGATTTGATTTACGGATGATCTGTCAATCAAAAATATTAACAACAAGTTACTCTGATCTACATTAAATGGTCACAATCTTCTGGTCATAATACTAAATGTTGTTGATAATTCCTTGATCCAACATTAAATGGATATAATCCCATGGTCAACATTAAATTAATATAATCACCTGATCAACATAAAATGGATATAATTCCATGATCAGAATTAATTGGACAACCCCCTGGTCTATAAATAGATAGCATATAATGCCCTGGTCAGAATAAAATGTTTTCCTTTATCCATAAATATTAACTGTGTTGATCCCTTATTAAATGGGAAAATTTCTAACTTAGTCAACGTTATGGCTTAATACCTTCGTCACTAAATAAATAACAGTTTACATTAAATATTCATTTAAAAAACTAAGTAAGTAGGTCTATATTATATTTATTCCCCCTCTAAAAATATTTTCAACAGCCTTGGCTCTGTTTATCATGTTGAAAGTGACCTACCCTGATACAGCCAGTCGGGTACCCCGTTGTATATAAGGCTGGGGTGTCCTGTGTGAGTGAGCCTGATGTCAGTGGTGCTACCTGGGGAGTAGCGTATGTAAATGTCGTTATCTGACACCAACACTAATCTCGTGGTGTTGCCGCACCACCGCGCCACCTGCAGCCACGTCTGGGACACCTTGGGGGAGTCACTCAGCCGCACCGGGATGTGATGGCTGAAAAAAGAGAGGATATTGACAAATAACTGCTCGATGCATGTTATTTGGTGCTGGAAAGACGTGAGGCATTTTTGGAACTTTATGGAACGATCCGTCGTGCTATATATAAAAAAACTGAATATGGAGTGTTAGCCATGACAACTGATTTCTACGTGCTTGGTTGTTCATTATTTCCGCGAGCCGCTGACAGGTAGAGCCCCTAGGGTGAGCCCCTGAGGTCGTCCTAACCTAACCAAACCCAACCTAACCTAACCTACTCAATTATACAGACAAAAAGTGCTGCCACTTGGTACAGTTAACGATCGTATTGGGTGGCCCCCTAGCGTGGGCGCAATTCAGGAATATCCGACTACCTGACTCAGGTCAGTGGGCGCAATTAATACCCGCTCGAGCTATACTTTGGAGGATCTGCAAGGATCCATGGCAGCGAAAGGTCACTGATGAGTATTAGTCTGATGCGGGGGACTCTGAGCTCTAAAAGATGTTTACATTGTGTGCTTGGTTAAATTTTGAACTATAGACTTCAGGGAGAGCTAACCGAGGCATCAAGTGTGTATGTATGGTCCACCCAATGTAGTCAAATGATCCAATCCAAAAATTTAACATTTTCATTGCAGTACATCATTAGGCACCAGATCTTGACTGGGAAACTTGGGAGGGCAAAAGGAGTCTCTGAAGAGATCAGCACAGAAGGAACCGCATGAAGAAGGCAAGTGCTAGGGAGAAATGGAGCGGATGACAAAAAAGGTGCGCAATGGAGATTAGAGAGCGTTATTATTGGTTGATTTACGGTTAAGAATCTCAACTATTCTCACTCAAGTTCCATACTAACAGTTTTTAAAAACAAGAGAAGTTTAGTAAAAATAAAATTTTATTAATTATTATGTGTTTCTTCTTCTACACGTTCGATCTTAACTTTATGCATGAAATCTTTTTCTTCAATCCCAATTTCATTTTAACAATAGATAAAAGATATACATTGTGGATTCCCAACTACGCTTAAAAACCAACTCTTTTCAGGAAGAAGCAAGTTTGTTCGTTATACTTAATCACGTTTGGTGCTGTCATTGCATGGGAAGTGTTGAAGAATAAATGTAGTTAACAGCATTACTGGCCGGGCTTGTAGGCAAAACACGTCCGTTCAGTAATCAGATTTACGCCTAGCTAACATTGATTGTGAGTCTTTCTGTGTGGTATTCGGATATTTTGAATGCCTTTCGACTATTTGAAATGAAACAATTATTTTGATCAATTATCAATCATTTAGATGGGGACGCCACCTAGGTGCGTATTTTAACCCAAATATGAGTGAAGGATGAGTGTAGAATGGTGTGTGATGACCTGTGTAGCTTTGGTAATGACTGATCAGCGGTTTTATTAATCAGGATCATTTTATTTGAAGCCCAATGATCAGGAATAGCTGGGTCCAGTTTCGAACCATCAAAAAGCTACTAACTTTTCTCAGGATCGAACCGGCGACCCTTTGATTACCAGGCGAGCACTATAACCACTCAGCTACCCATGGAATAAATTTTCAATTTTGCATATGTTTACGCCAAAGGAAATATAAAATATAGACGATTATTGTTGGTTGAGTTTTCTAGAACAATTGAAAGGCAAATTTCAGAAAAATTGAGAGAATACTGAGTAACGTCAAGGTAAAAACACAAAAGGAACGGCCTCAGAATTTAAAATCCTTCATCACTTTTCCAGACGATCTACCATTGACCAAAACTGTAAACTAAAGACTACGTTTTAGGTTGAGAGGAAGTAGTTTTAACGGGAAAAACGAACGCCGTAGACGACATATTTCAACATAGAATACTTTAAACTATTCATAAATATTTCATTACCGATTGGTTTATGTAAGAACCATTTTGACTATTTATTTTTTATGGTTGTTGAATCACCTACATTCTATTTCAGAAACATACAACTTTTAAAGAAACTTGTATGATTTCACATAATAGCACATCATATAAAATAATAGCATCATTAATTAAAGTGTCTCTTCTTGATAAGATATCAGTTTAACTTAAACTAGTAAACACGTTGCTCGAAATCGAGCAATTGCAAAGAAGTAAAGTAGTTATTTAAAAACAAATAAAAGTCATCATAATTTCCTATGAGTTTAAAAGACTTTGAATTGAAAAATAAATAACAGCAATTAAATTATACAGCTGATCAAAATGTAAACAACTAAGTTCTCCATAAGGATAACATGGGAACTTTCTAAGCCACTGGGGCAGAGCCCAAGGGACTTTTAAAAAAATGTAAGGCCAGTTTGCAAATCTACGCGACACGCTCTTTCCAATGAGACGTCAATGGATAAAACATTAAAAACCCTTATCACGGAATCGCAAAAGGCTAATAGAAACGCGCTAATGCACGGGACAAAAGTTAGCTTAAGCATTCTCTCAAGCTGAGCATGTGAAGTTCCGAAGTTGTTCAAAGGAAACTTCGTCAACTCGGCGAAGTTTTAATAAGTTCAACTTGGTTAAAACATTCAAAGCTGGAGAATTCCCCGAGCATACCTGAGACTAGTGTTATTGTCATCAGTGGTGTTGTAAGTGGCTCAAGTGATCTGTGTAGATTCAGAATAGGAATTGAAATGTTATGATTAACATTAGGAAAGCTTTGAATCATGAATTAATGTAGCCTAAATTAACTGTTGATGTTTTTACTGAACGTTTTGTTATACCATACCTATGCATAAATTAGTGTGCAAAATTGGTAAAACGTTTCATTAGGGTGTCCATAAAAAACGTTTCATGACTTTAGGAAATGAATCCCATACTAAAAGGAAGAAAAAAGTTTATGGGAAGGTATGTCCGAAAATGCATATTTATCCAGATATCCGCCATTTTGTTTTTTATACAACAATATTTTTATCTGTGAAGTTTTTTATTCGATATGCATTTTCGGACATACCTTCCCATAAACTTGTTTCTTCTTTTTGGTATGGGGATTCATTTCCTAAAGTCATGAAACGTTTTTTATGGACACGCGGTATAAAATCGTATGTACTTATTATTATTATGTAATTGTTAGCTATAAAATACCCAATAAACTTAATATTTTACACGGCATGCACTATCCGTATTATTTTCCTATATACTCTACGGTTGTACAGAAACTTCAGTATCACATTCTCTCCAGTAAAACTACGCAGCTGTTAAAATGCATATCGTAAAGTAGGGCCTGAACTAAGTCAATCCAAAGTTTAAATGAAGTTGGCAGAAGCACGTAAATCATGGATGCTATAAACATCTGGTTGCTGATGCATATTTTACTTTGCCTAGATGACTTAACTAGAGTAATTTGAGTTCGTTCTTCAAAATTGTAAAAACATTCAATGTATCAACAGAAATCAAAATTAAATGACAGGAGGAGATAGTACTTCGCACTGGTCTCCCGATCTCAATACGTAATACTGTAGTAGGCCACCATCGTGTTCGGATACTGTACTCAGTTATACGGATCTTTACGAACCAGCTGTAGCCAATTTCTGATAGAAAATAACATTAAACAATTCACAGAGTGCACTGCTGTCAAAAAAGATTTTCTCTCTTAGTTCTTTGTTACTGTACAGTTAATATTACATAAAAAAATGCTATGGCTTGCAATAAGCTGTCCTGTCAGTTTGGCTTGGTTTACAGTAAAAGTGGGAGAGTTTTGAGTATAATTGGATGTTTCCCAATTGATAACCTTCTTTTCATAAATCAGTGGGTCAATTCAAATAGTTTATTTTTATTCTGAAACTTTCTACGACTTAAACATGGGTACGGATCGCCTAGATCTGCCGATAGTCAAAGTGTAGTAGGCCTAGTAACAAGTAATGGGGTGGGGACAGACTGACAGGCAAAATTTCCCTCCGACATCGTCAAAGTGTCAATATTAATACTAAGTGTAACATTTAGTATCCATGGTTCCTAAGATTCGAGCAACAGTACAGTATCGTGTAAATTATCACTCTGACAACTACTTCACCTCGCGAATGTCTTCAAGACACTATAAATCCCAGCACATGGGCCTTAGAGAGGCAAGATTACAGACACGCTATATGTTAATCCGTAACCTCTTGATATGTATCAAGCCATGTTCCACTTTATGACTTTCCCGCTTCGTTTGTTATCTACATTTTCAGCTGACCTAGTGACTGTGTTTTATGTATGTGTGGAGTCAGCTGCCGTAGTTGTTTTATATCCCTCCTTCACATCTTAGGACGCTAGGTGCTAGCCCGAAACTGTTTTACACATAACTTCATGCTAGTCATACAGGGTCGTCGAATTTACATAGATTAAATCCATTGGTGATTGGCGGGATTTGAACCCGGGACCTCGGGCTCCAAAGCCGCGAGCTCTGCCACTAGACAAGCTTGCTCTCCCCTGCCATAGTAGATTGATAACCTAAATAATAATGGTAAAGTGTAGGTTCGAGTTAAAAGATAGTGTAAGTGATAGAAAATAGCGACAATGAGCAAAACAAAGCTCCCCATACAATCCTTGACATGTGATGTAGGTAGGTAACCTATGTGAATAGGTTCTGTACAGTCAAATGATGTTGAGTTGGAGATTTTCAGTCAGTGACATGAAAACAAGAAACTTCAGTTTTCTTGGGGGTTGGATTAGAATATTCCATTTCAGTGCTCATTTTGCTGGTTTCTTGTGTCTGTATGAGAGGGAAAATCGAAGTCCAAGATATACTTGCAGGTAAGGAAAACATGAGCACTCCTCTTTTGAAAGTGGTATTATTTAATTAGTGTGAATTCAATTAACTTGTAGCACTTAATTAACGGAAAGTACTAATTGCACACTAACCTCCATTAAAATGTCAAGTAAAGAAGGGTGATAGGATAGTAGAAAGCGTGAATCCTTTGAGGCTGGTTATGTTTTGCATATTATATGTTGAAGCGCTACCAGCTGATCTAGAAACTGTCATGTGATCATGAAAATAGTTGGTCATGGCATTTATAGGTTGAATTATCGAACACAAATCCAAAACCAGTTCTTCTCACAATTTATCTTATCTATACTTCGGTGTTCAGGCCACGGTAATTATCACATAATGAATCTCCATTGGTAATTGGTGGGATTTGAACCCTGACTCCCAGGCTAGAAGTGCCGCGCTATGACATGCGTGATCGCGTGTCCACATAACTGTTAATGTGTGGTACTGGTATGATGCACGATGGTATGTGTGACATGCCATCAGGGTGTACTGGTATACTTGGTATGTTATCACTTGACCTAGTCACTGTCATGCGATCAAGTGAGCTATGGAAAGCCTGAGATATCATATACTAAATTAAGTCAAGGTTTCATATGATATTACGTGTAAGAAAATAGGATGACATCCCATATTTATGCCTCTAGTTAGTACAAACAAAGCTTGACCGATAGTTTAACTACATGTTTACCGTTTAGTTCTCTATATTTCATACGTTCATTAATTATCTCACAGGTCAATGAAGACAGACAGTCACGATTTTTCGTAATGAGAATTATGAGCGTTTATATTTGAAGCAATTGACATTAGAACAGAGCCGATTTACACATACAGTTCATACATAAATAATTTTCTTCATAATAACTTTACTTGAAAAATAATATTTCCCTATATTAAGGTCTCGAATTGAAGATATGCACGTACAGATTTGCCATCAAGCATTGGCATAAATGTACTGTATCTATAAGCCCACTCGTCATATACTTAAAAAACGAAATTTGCTCCCCATGTATTTCTTATGGGAGTTAAATTTGGTCTCAATTTTTTTATATTTCATTGATGTATAAACCAAATAAATTCAACATTTTCGGCATTTTATGAAAAAAATATTGCGAGTATAACATTTGAAAGGTTTTTAAAATATTCGAAATTTAATTGATAAAAAAAAAGGTTCAGTTACACTTTTAATGGTTTGGGTTTATTTAAATTATAGAAAATTTTATTTGGGTACAAGTTTTGACTACTGTTCTTTATCGACTAAATAAAAAAATCAATTAATCGTATTAAAAAAATAATTGTAATAAACCATTGCATACAACATTTATAATGGGATCAATTTATGTGAACTACCACAGTAAAATGTTGGAGAACGAACTCATCTGAATGTAAAGTCCTCTAGGCAAACTGCAATATCAGCAAACAGATGTTTATAGCATCCTCGATTTACGTGTTTCAGCCAACTTCATTTAAACTTTGGATTGACTTAGTTCAGGTCCTGCTTTACGATTTGTATTTTAACAGCTGCGTAGTTTTACCGAAGAGAAAGTGATTTTGAAGTTGTTTTAAATCCGTGGAGTATAAACAAGAATAATGTAAATCGTGCAAACGGATAGTATAAAATCATTTACCTAACCCGCTATGTTAAACTTCCCTATCCCAAGCGTGATGTATACAACTTCTTTACTTCTCGAGTGATGTAAAGTTGAAAAAAAACTCACTCGGTGAGGTAATGAAACCCATTTAAATAACATTGAGTGCTTAACTTAAAAAATATACTTCTATGGAGCCAACGACGTTCAACGCTAGAAATCAGCTGTGCGCTTGAATTTTATTGTCATGTTTTGAAGAATTTTCCTAACCTAGCTTTTGTTTATAAATGAACGTTACTGTTAGAAGATGAGTGAAATGGATAATGAAAAATATTGTTCGTAACCTCCTGTATATTGTCGGGTCAGGTAAAATCTTGTACGTTACACGTAACGCAAGAGCATGTTTACATCACTTAGGTAAATTATGCAACTCGCTTCCGCTCGTTGCACAACATTCACCTGCGTGATGTAAAAACGCTCTTACTACACTAGTAAGGTAAATAGCTATTACCTAACCCGACCCGCCATGTTAAACTTCCCTATCCCAAGCGTGATGTATACAACTTCCTTACTTCTGGAGTGATGTAAAGTTGAAAAAAACTCACTCGGTGAGGTAATGAAACCCATTTAAATAACATTGAGTGCTTAACTTAAAAAATATACCTCTATGGAGCCAACGACGTTTAACGCTAGAAATCAGCTGTGTGCTTTAATGTTATTGTTATGCTTTAAAGTATTTTCCTAACCTAGCTTATGTTTGTTAAAGAACGTTACTGTTAGAAGATGAGTGAAATGGATAATGAAATATATTGTACGTAACCCCATGTATATTGTCGGGTCAGGTAAAATCTTGTACGTTACACGTTACGCAAGAGCGTGTTTACATCAGTTCTGCGTGATGTAAAAACGCTCTTACTACACTTGTAATGTAAATAGCTATTACACTGTATAGTTGAATTGTATTACTTATGAAAAAGTGACTCAATTTCAAACAAAATCAATTTCAACACTAACACTTTTGGGCTACTCTAATTAGATCGATTTTGGGAATATTATGAATATCATATCCATCTCCTTAACAAACTTAACGCAACTTGAAGGAAGCAAACCAGCTCGATGCCAATGTGCTAAAAATGTTTTCTTATAAATCGCAAACATGGGCAATCCATCAAGGACAACAACATGGTTTCAACATGATATTTAGGCGTTTAAAATTACCTTATGTGATAGGGAACAAAAATATTATAGTCTAAGCCATAGCTTTTACAAATAATAGGAACAACTGTGATGGATGACAAAAATATTAAGTGATATCTTTTGTATTGTAGTTTCTATCTTAAAATATCAGCTAAAGTTCATCAGGCAGAAAATGGACGTAGAAAACCCCGTTTTCAACCATAAGTCAACGTCAACACTTCTGATTGAATACACAGTAGGTCTATATTCAAATCAGCTATACTAAATGGGAGTAAACTGAATACTATGACATATTTTACTGATATAGTAAAAAAAACGAATTTACCAAATTATGCTATAAAATAATCATTTCAGTGACTTTTTGGTGATATTTAAGTGAAAATTATTCAACTTACTCTTTGTCCACATCATAGATTGTGTAGTGTGAAATGAAGGAATTCTTGAACACCTGCAACAAGTAAACACAATGGTTAAATTAAACTCATTAGCTTGTGGACATGAAAATTCCATATTAATCCTTGTAATAAAGATAAACTATGAATATAATATTGTATGGTTTTACAAGGTGCTTAATACGTATAAAAGATGATCGATTTTCACTGGTCACGCTGGTAACTCAAGACCAATCTGTAAACATAAAATGTTGTGAAATTAAAAAATCTCTCACCATTGTAACATCGTTTACATAGATCTTATTGTTAATGTTTACGTTTTAAGCGTGAATGTCCTAAAGCGTTGCAAGGCTCTATAAATTTTAAAGAAACGAAAAAATAGTGTTTAATGATAAACCAAGAGAATGAGATTGAAAAATATGAAGCAGCAAACGACAATACTCGGCTCGAGACAGCGATATAAACCGTGTTGGGAAGAGCACTTGAATTGTCAGATATTGTACTTATACAGCTACAGCCACGGCGAGGCAGCAAGCCAAGATGTTGATCAATGGTCACAAACACATCCTATACGGCGATCGACCGTAATTTACGGGCTTTGCTGCAGTCTTTGGAGAATCTTCCGCAGCATATATCACCAACAAGGCGATTGGTTCGGCCACTGACTGTGTCTACTACAAGTGAACATGTAAAATATGTAGCTTACTTAATATTATGTGTGTTTTGATGCTACAGTATTGGAATTGCTGAAGTTTTTATCGGGACGGTACAAATCCTGGTCTTTGACGTACACTTGATGTCAGATGGGATTAAATATTAAATGGCAGCTCGATGACCAATTTCATATGGACAAATCGACTACACTTGAATCAAACGAGCAACCGTAGATTAAACATACTCTCTTATAAATTCAACTGCCTTATTAGTCCAGTCAATGAATGATCCAAAAGTAGGTGTAGAGTGCGTGAGCAGGTAACTAAGCGATTCCTTCAGAAACTTGTTCAGGGGGCTTAGGGTGTTAGCATACCAAAAGTCCTGACTCCTAGGTGGTGAGCCAGGGGGTGGAGGGGGGAAAAAGGGGGGGGAGAAAGGTACGCATTTTGGGTTTTTTGATTATATCTCGAAAACTATCAACTTTTTGTATACTATAGTAAATTATAAAATTGAAGAAGATTAAATTTTCTACAAGAAAAGTATATAATGTGTTTATTTTGGTTCAACAGATTACGAGTTATAACTTATTTAATTGATATCTTATTAAAATACTCCTTCCATAAGAAATACATGTAAATTAGTATGCGAAATGGGGCGAATCCTATCCGCCCAAAGGAAATATAACTGATATTCTGGAAATCTCGACAAAATTTCCAGTAATTTGACACTTTAATCATGAAATTTTGTCAAAAATTAAAGCGAGGGTGAGCGTTTAAAAATGGGACGATTTAAGGTTTTTTTTATATTTCCAATAAAAAAACACCAAAACTCGACATTTTGTTACCTCGCCCTCGCCTTAATTTTGGATCAATTTTAATGATTAAAGTGTCAAATTACTGGAAATTTTGTCAAGATTTCCAGAATATCAGTTATATTTCCTTTGGGCGGATAGGATTCGCCCCATTTCGCATACTAATTTACATGTATTTCTTATGGAAGGAGTATTTTAATAAGATATCAATTAAATAAGTTATAACTCGTAATCTGTTGAACCAAAATAAACACATTATATACTTTTCTTGTAGAAAATTTAATCTTCTTCAATTTTATAATTTACTATAGTATACAAAAAGTTGATAGTTTTCGAGATATAATCAAAAAACCCAAAATGCGTACCTTTCTCCCCCCCTTTTTCCCCCCTCCACCCCCTGGCTCACCACCTAGGAGTCAGGACTTTTGGTATGTTAACACCCTAAGCCCCCTGAACAAGTTTCTGAAGGAATCGCTTAGTTACCTGCTCACGCACTCTACACCTCATTCCTTGACTGGACTATATGGGTAATTTGAATTCAGTTTTGACTGGTTTATGCCGATGAATGTATTATTATTTAACACTTTTCCTTGTTATTTAGCCAAATATAAATCTATTGCAACGGAATTCTTCGGTGAAATATTTTAATATCGCTTGAGCTCTTGAGCTCTGGTATTATAACCGACATGGAAATCCCAAATCATAAAATGTTCCTTAAATAAGAGAGAAGCGTGAAGTCGACATGAGCGGCGCGACATTTTTAACACCACAAATATATCGAAAGATGTTACAAATTAAATTTTTTGAAAATTCTTCTAACGCCATTTTTTATTAGCGAGTAGTTCGAGTGTGCTGATGTTGATTGAATGTTTTCCCCTATTAATTTAAAATTTACATTTAGCGCTTTTCTTTGAAGTTATTATACTAGAGGACAAGCAAAGATCTATCGATTGGTATGTTTGGTCAAACCAATAAATATACTTTTTTCAGTTGGCAACTCTGTTATTGTCGCCAGAGTGTGGTTCATCAATCAGCTGATGCTGACGTCATCATCGTCTCATCTCTCCGGCGACGTGTGGAAATGAGAATACTCAAAGAAGAAAGAATTCTGCTCAGTCAACTGGATCTCTCGCATAAACGAGTATATAACTTTGAATTTTGATATTGTAAATACACATCTCACCCTAATGTAAAAGGTAATGTTTTCTACGCGGTTTTCGGTTACGTTTTACTTTCCAGTATGAAAACCTACAAATTAATATGTCTAATCTATGATTCAGCGTTTACACTTCAAATGTGTTGTTGTGGATGTTGTAGTAATGTATATTTAAATGTTTGGTACTTTCTTTAAAAGATATTTTCGTTATCAAATTTAATTATACCTTTATTCTTTTCTAGTAGAAATTCTTTTGTATTCATGTTCTAAGAAAGGGAAAACTACATCTGCAATTTTTAGTATTTGTTATAATGGGAAGTAACTGGTGTGAAAAAAGTTTACTTTTCATATGATCCTCCAATTTTCAAATGTATCTCATTTTAGTGATACTCACGAAGACCATCACCTGTACAAGGTTTATTTTTGTAGAAGTTGGTTTGAAATCCATTTGTAAGAAGCATTTGAAAAGATAGCTAGGAACGCGTTTCAACGTACATATAGTAAAAAAAATTACATAGGCTATATATGATCAAACTACTATATTTTATGTAAATGTATTTTAAATATGTTGGGTTTCGGAATATATTGGAAATAAAATTTGAGAAAAATAATCAGTTGGTGTTTTTCAACTCCAAGGTTTGAAGTAGGCTACTGAAATTTGATCATACAGCATGTGTAAAACACTATGGTGTGTAAAATTGACTTTTGATTCAATAAAAAAAAAAACTAAAATGAAAAAAGTGTTTGAAACTAATCAAACCATCACATACGCAAAATTACCTTTGTACTCATATAGGTAGTTAAAATTGATAAACCTCATACATGCTAACTGCTATCAGAAGAAATCGAATAACGGAATTATCATTGGGAAATGGATGAAGCATGTACGATACAGACTTATATGGAACTTGAAAATGGACTACAGTAAAGCACCGACCGATAAGTGACCTGATTCTATAATTTCAACGAAGCCACGAGGTTAGTGCTGTGTTGTAAAGCAAGGGTTTGGCAGAGCTTCAGTTGGCTGGTGACGCGCTTATTGTCATCATATTATGCCGCGATCAGAGGTTATTGAAATACATTGTCATGTCGGAAGTGGTCTTAAAATTGAAAATGGACTACAGTAAAGCACCGACCGATAAGTGACCTGATTCTATAATTTCACCGACGCCACGAGGAGCTGTGTTGTAAAGCAAGGGTTTGGCAGAGCCTCAAGTTGGCTGGTGACGCGCTTATTGTCATCATATTATGCCGCGATCAGAGGTTATTGAAACACATTGTCACGTCGGAAGTGGTCTTAAAATTGCAGCGAGAATGGCTGCGACTTATTGTTTCAGAACTGCATATTCAACTCACCCGATTGCGACCCAAATTATTTTTTTTTTGTTTATTTGAGATTGGTTGGGTTTTCCAAAGTTACAAACAACATTTTGAGATAGTTGAATATATTGCACTATTACAGGACATAAAATCAATTATTAGTGGTCTTTGTGTTATACCTTATTTATTTATTGTGCTATATTTTAGTTTTACTGCTAAAACTCATTAACATATCTGTCTGTGACAATTAAAAAACGGGAATTCAAGGTACGAGTTTGAACGGGCATCTTGCATGCAAATGTGCAATAAAATTTGTAGGAATGAATTCATTAATTTATCGTTTAATCTAATGAGACAGTGTTCAAATGTTTATTAAACCAAATGGTTTTCGGACGTAAAATCGCTGGCCAATTGTTGAATGTGTTGGAGATCGAGGGTCAAATGAGCAACGATAAAGGCAAGTGTAGAGGTTAAGAAGGGAGGAGATCTTCGCCCCCAACTTGTCTTCTTACTGACAATTCTGCGATCTTCATAACACCCTACTGTGGATAAAATCTTATGAAGACAAAGAAAGTAGTAATTTTGTTCATGTTAAGTAGGCTTTTAAATACAAACACGGCCAAATTAAATCGATAATAAATTGTGAATTTAAATAAAGTTTTTAGCAAAAAAAGTTAACTAACACTGTTGGCTTGAAAGTGAAACACTTGCCTGTGTCGATAAATGGGAAAGCTTTCAAAGTATAAACTCTTAAATAATCTTAATTCACATTTCAAAACATATTTCTGAAAGTACCTGTTTGATGTTGTGCCTCAGCAGAATGTACTTGAGATCACTCGAACACTGGAACCACTTCACGTTTAGTTGTCTCTGAAAACAAATTAAATTTTAAATTTTTGATCGAAATTAACATTTCTATTATTCTGAAAAATAAATTTAGAGGTAAGTATCTTTGGAAACATTAGCAAATAAAAGTATGTTGCTAGTGTGGTTGCTAGTGGTCATGGAATCTGGTACAAGAGTACCGGGGTCGATCCCCGACACATCCACAACATTTTAACGGGGCCACTTTACTGTTGTGATTACTTAATACAAAATGAGAAATCAGTAAACATTAAAACGATATAGATAAAAATGGGTTTTTTGTCGTTTGACTTAATTAAAGAGAGTGAAATATCTCTCCAATACAGATATCACACATGTCTCGTCACCTGAGTAACTTATTCTATCATTTGTGAATGACGGGATTTGAACCCAGGACTTCAAGATAGCTTGAACCCTAACAACTCGTTCAACCACACTACAACAATTTAGAATTACCATTATTGCCAGTAATAAATAAATAAATTGTTTCAAGTAGTTTAAAATAAACCATTTGAAAATTTCCTCGCGACAGCTTCTTGCCTTTTGTTTAAATTTTCAGTTGAGAAAATACGTCGCGAATTGTTTACACACATTAACCTTTGTAATGTTTCTTCTTCAGTTCACACTTCTTAGATGTCATTTTAATTAAATCGTAATTTGCTGGAGCAGTGGCTTGGAAATGTTTAAGCTTTCCAGACGCAATAAAATTTGTTGAACCACGCAGTTTACTAAGGATATATAATGTCGTAAGAGCTGCTTCACTCGTGCCTCGCAGTGGGGTGAGGACCCAGAAGTGAATTGTGGTTAATTAAATCAGTAAAGTATGAAAACAGCGATTTACCAACATTTGATTATTAAAAAAACGAGGTTTCAATAACTCTCTATTTAGTTTTAGGGGTAAACAAACAAGTATTTTTGAAAATCTATTCTCGACCAAAAATATTTAACAATGAAAACAAAGTAATACAGTAATGCAAAGTTGGGGATGGGGACTAATAAATATATAATTCCAAAAATTCCACTTCAAAACTTTAAACATCCAAGGGATCCAAGAGTTTTAAAATCATTTAAAAGAGTTATTTAAATCTACTGTTTAAAACCAGTAGACCCACCATTGATTATGGAAACAAATTAATCTTAAACTAGTTGAACGGAGCGAAGCGAAGCTCTTTGGGATCGAATTCAATGCAAACTTTCTAACAAATTAACTCAATAACGGCTGAAAATATTTTAGCAAAACTTACCAAGGTTGTGTTGTCAAATGTTGGCAATGTTCAGAAGAAACCAATTTCAATTGTTAATAATGCCTATAATTTAATACCCCGCCGCAGCAAACCTGCAGACTTAGCGAATTTCCATTTGCCTGATTGGATTTAAACTAAAATGTCTCCTTAAAAATATCACACTTATTCCCTATTTAAACAGAATTAGTTTAGTGAGTACTTAGGTTTGCTGCAACAGGGAGGGTAAAAATTTTTTTAAATGTAAAATGTTAAAAAGTACTGTGGTTTAGTACAAAATGTATTTTCCAAATTTGATCAAATATGTTCATAAACAAGCAAACTACAACAGTTGACTTATTCTCCATAAGAATAACATGGGAATTTAAAATTACAATTTTTTTGAATTTTCTCCGTAACAGTTAGGCGCATTATAACGCTTCAATATACTAAATTATTTGTTTTTTTAAGCTCTACAAAATGGTTTAAAAAGAAATTGTGAAATTTTGTGTTTTTATGGTCAAAAATGGGAAAAACCTATTTTTACCCCATAAAACCCCCCATAAACACCCGTTCCCATAGTCCGATCATGCTGGTTCACGAACTCATTCAAGTTTATCCCGCCTTACACCTTTAAACCAAATTTTATGAAAATCGGACAAAAATTACTCAAGTTATCGTGCGGATGGACACACATATATATATATATATATATATATATATATATATATGTATATATATATAGATATATAAAAATTTGAACGAATGGTGTTTTTGGCCTCTGGGGACATCAAAATGAAAAAGTAAATCGGTCCCGGGCTTAGGTCTTACCATGAGACCTACGGTAATAGCTACTTCCCTATAGGGAAATTCGCTAAAAGTAAGTCAAAGTTTTAAAATCTTACATTGGACTTATGGGTTGTCATGATGGTTACAAAATAACGACGTAAATGTAAACAAAACAAAGAATCATAGCTTATGTTAAAATCAAGCCACGACCTAAACACAGTATAAAGGGAAAACTCGGATGATGACCAGTGATCAATTAATACAGAGAAAGTTTACATGTATTTCGCAATTTGGAAACGACCTCTGATCGAATAGGTACATTATTTTACAGATTGGTTTTGGTACCTAAATCTATATATATAAAATCCAATGTATGTTTGTTTGTATGTTTGTCCTTTATGGACTCCGAAACCGCTCGACAGATTGTAATGAAACTTTCAGGCATTATTAAGCATTATTCAATGATGGTTTGTGTAAAGTTTGGTGCAGATCCGTCAAAAGGGCTCCGCCCCAGTGGCTCTGGAGTTTCCCATGTTAACCTTATGAGTACTCATATTTAAATGGAATTAAAGAAAATTAACAGCTGGTTTAACTAAGCAATTTGATTCTGTGATGTTCAATAGCATTAAAAGTTAATAAGTTTACCAACAGGGTGCAGCACAATTATATTTTTTTAATTTATGACAACAGCTAATTTGCAACCAAAAGGTGAGTGAGCGTAGCGAACGAACTTCAACCTGAAGGCAAGTGAGCACAGCGAACGAGCTCCAACCTAAAGGTGAGTGAGCGTAGCGAACGAACTTCAACCAGGATCTTGAAAATGAACAAGCATTTGACATAAAAGCATAGGACAGGACGACGTCTGTCGGGCCAGCTAGTAAGGTTATAAAAAATAACATTTGTCTTATGTTATAGGGAATTAAAACAACTACATGACTCTGAAGTGTTAACTAGGTATTCTTAAATCAATATTTGTATCTAAATAGGCCTATATGGACTATGAAGTCCTTAAAAAGTTACATCTGCAAATCGTATGGATCCATGCAGGATTAATTATGCCTGAATTGCAAAATCGGGCCAAGATTGAGAAAATGTAGATTGGTTTAGGTTCAAGGTCGGGATCAACCAGAACTGTGTTCACCAGATGACATTAGCAAGCAAACAAAGGAAAAAATACCTATACATAGGATATGTATTTAATGTCCACATCTTTACTTATGAAACTTGTTATAGATACATAGTTCTGAGCGAAACTGATAAGTTAAATTGATGAAATAGTTGTATTTTGTATTATACCCATAACAAGTTTTATTTATTCCTTTTTTAATAACCACGAAATGTGATCGCTCCACTCAACTGGCTTTCACTGCTATGAAAGCAGTCCTAGTTACGTTTGTTTTAATACTGTGCCTAACTGATAATATAAACTTAATAGTATTGATTGTTGTTATCAAGTTCTCCCCTTATTTTATTTTAATTCAATCAGCTGTGTGGTAGAGTTAAATTATTAACTTTATTCCACCACTTTTTACAATACTTATGATTTATTATAAATTATTATATTAATTGATTATATTCTGCGTACTTATGATTTTTGAATTCACCTTTTTAAACCTTATTTAATCTCTTGTTTTTATTCGTTTATATTTTGAATGGGGGTTAAAAAACATAATTAGACTATTAGTGAACACCCTCATTATTAGTAGATTGATCTGATTACATAAAGCTTTAATTAAAGAATTTAACGTCACGTAATATGGCAAAAATGAAAATAAAACACAATTTGACAAATACGTTTTTACAACCGAAAAATAATGACATAATATTAGCTACAGATCAAATGAACGATTCTGTGTAATTTTAATTGCACAGAACAGTAACATAATGTCAGCATTAGTGAGCGTGTTGTGGGTTTGTCTGATCATGGATAATCGAGAGTCAAACGATAAGTCTAGTTAGGGGCAAATGGGCATGTGAGGATTTACAAAAACCAATTACGCACAACCAGCCCAATTTTGAACTCATTCTGAACAATTTTGAACAATACACTTTATGTTAAGTGCCTTATAATTCTATTAGGAAGACAGATTTTTTATGTTAAAAAAATATTTGAATGTACGTTTACCGCATATTTTGGTATAAAATACAGTAAATAGTCATATAATTCATTTTTAAGCCAACAAAAAATATTTTGATTCATTTAAAAAAGGCATCTAATTTTTATGTATATAACTATGACAGCATAGTCAACAGAGCTTGTGAGAATTAATGTTTTTACTGGAGTGGATAACTTTTACTACAGGTACTGTATTCCATAAGGACAACGTCAATATATCAATTTTTCTTTTCAACTGTATATTTGAAATTTGTAAGTGCTAATTAATAATGAATTGAGAATTACGATGAATGAGTTATGAGTTTATTAAAATCTTTGTTGGGTGTAGACTTAATATTTACTGATTTTTCTTCATTATACAATGAAATTAATTAATTAAATTGTATAATTGATTTCATAGTTTAAACAATTTTCATTAACTTAAATCTTTTTGGTATACTGGTTTTAAAAAATATTTGAACTTTAATGTATAATAAGTATGTTGTGAACAAATGAAAATTAGAACAACCTATAGGGAGGTTGTGATGATAGTAGGAATATAATTAACTTAGTCCTAATACTCTACCTGATTACATTTAAGCCGATAACAGTTTTTGTAGAATGTATATCCTGCCACTCCCCCTAGACTCCTTTTTAGTTAACTATAATCCGTCGTTTAATGGTCTACATCGTGTAAATGTGATTTTTTAACACTCTCGCCGTTTGTCAAAATAACCTTGGTAGTTTTTGCTAGGAAATGGTCAGCAGTGTTATAGCATGATGAGATTACAAAATTTGCAAAAAGTCCTGTCTCAACTAGCTACACTAGCTTCGCTCAATGAAGTAATGTTTAAATTCTATTGCATAAATAACAAATACATTATCTTTTATTTCTTTGTCTGTTCTCGAATGCTTGGAACAGAAACTATTTTACTGCCAATGACTAGGAGATATAAAATCAATTCCTACTTAACTATGAACCTTCCATGTCCACTTTCTTAAAATACAGCCCGAAAATAAAAACTGAAAGGAACAAGAACTACACCAATTTAGACTGCCGTTACCATTTTGGTGTTTTTTGTTCTGTAAAAAATAATGTTTTTTGAATAATTCCTTTTGAAGACAGGCCACGATAAGGGGATCTTAACACTTATTTTGTTTTGGATTTTGAAAGTACAAACTAAATTTCAGTATTCAGTACAACATACTCCTATAAATCTGTTTTATTTCTGTATCTATTGTTCATTCCAATTTATTAAATATCAAAATATGCAATCTGAAATCCAATCGAGTGTAACGAATGAGGCAAAAGTATTTTGAAATGAAGATTTACTGAAAACTCCGAGCAACCGGAATCGATGGGAACTAATTAGACGTCAAATATTATAATGGAGATCAATTAAGAAGTTAAAAAGTTGGTCGAAACTGCAATTTTTAATCTGCGCTCCAATAGATTTTAATACGATTACTTAAATGACAGTTTTCTAAAGTTTGGTTTGTGTTTTTGTTCTCACTGTCAATCGATTCTGCACACTTTGGTAAATGTTATAATCAAATTCAATTACTTGTTGACATTTATTTAAAAAAATTAGAAATAACTTGGAATGAAAGTTTTTGTTTTGCAGTTTTGCTACCGATAAAATTAAAGCTATGACTGTTTCAGGTTTCCTTATTAGAAATGCTCATACAGTGGAACCTTGATAAAAAGACCCTCGATAACAAGTCACCCTTGATAACAAGTGTCATTTTCAAATCCCCTTAAAATGCTTTTTCCCCTAATCACATGTTATTACAAACCTCGATAAGAAGTCAACCTTGATAACAATTCTTATTTTACAATCCCCATGAGAGTCTTTGTTATCAAGGTTCTACTGTATTTAGGTTTAAATGTCGGTAAGCTGTTCTGGTAAGCAGTAGTTATCTCTCGCCGAAAGAATACCGGCAGCAGGCATATAAAATCGTAGTCAAACGTTTGTTTATTGTGTATGAAATTAAACGTATTTGAATTGAGTTTCCAACTGTGTGTGGTTCTGAAATTAATTTCTGTTGTACAGACTGTTTAACCAAGCCAAACTGAACGGAAAACTCGGTAAACTATAGCTTATCCAACCCTAGCACATCAGCAAACCCTTGGCGAATCTCCTTTGTTATGTCATATTCTGTCAAATGACGTGCTTTATTTTCAGAAAGCTAAAAGAAATGCGCACAGTGTCATTTGCCAATGAGTCGCTTGTATATTTTGTAAAAGTTTGATAAGTATGTTACTAAATTGGCCCAACAATGGGAGTGCATTTTGGATTACCTCATACCTCACGTGGAACAAAGCATTTCTAGGCACTCATAGATAAACAGTTTCTGGATAAAGTGGCCATAGCCCAATTTTCAGATTATGGATAATTTAAGCCTGTCATGGCACCCATGTTCCCCCCAAAAAAATCTTTATCAAATAAGAAAGCAGCAGTTGCAGCATAGCAGTTGCATTACATTAATTCAATATTTCGGATTTTTAAAAAGCTTCTAAGTTTTTTAATATTTTTACCTAACCACCGTGTTAAACTTTCCTATCCCAAGCGTGATGTATACAACTTCTTTACTTCTCGAGTGATGTAAAGTTGAAAAAAGCTCACTCGGTGAGGTAATGAAACTCATTTAAATAACATTGAGTGCTTAACAAAAAAAATATACCTCTATGGGGCCAACGACGTTCAACGCCAGAAATCAGCAGTGCGCTTGAATTTTATTGTTATGTTTTGAAGTTTCCTAACATAGCTGTTGTTTGTAAATGAACGTTACTGTTAGAAGATGGGTGAAATGGATAATAGAAAATATTGTTCATAACCTCCTGTATATTGTCGGGTCAGGTAAAATCTTGTACGTTACACGTTACGCAAGAGCGTATTTACATCACTTAGGTAAATTATGCAACTCGCTTCCGCTCGTTGCACAACATTCACCTGCGTGATGTAAAAACGCTCTTACTACACTTGTAAGGTAAATAGCTATTGTTTGCACAACTGACAGGATTGAGCGGGTGGGTCCTTGGTACTGTGCGTGCCTACGACGACTAAAGTTTGGAGGGTTTGAATTGTATGAGATAACGCGGCCGCCTTCTTTATTACGCTTATTTACTTTCTGCCTTACTCTTCGACACGCTATCTTTATTTCGGGACATCTTCAAGTATTGTATGACTTTGAAGATTGATTCCAGGAGATACACAGGAAATATTTATGTAATTACTCGTATTTCCCTGTAAGATTTTCGTATATATGCCTACATCTAATGATCAGTTGATTGATTTGGTAATATGAAAACTCAAAAATTAAAACCACCAGCTGTGTACAAATCCACACATAAGAGTAAATTATCTTACACGATCACACAGTGGCATAGATAGACTAACCAACACGAGGGAGTATGTTTCATCTATGGCAAAGGATTGGCATGAATGAGATAAGACTGTTTTGTTAGGCTATGTGTAAAATAGATTTATTCTATAACATTGTAATTGTTTACAGAAACTATGTATAATTTTATAATCAATGGTAGGCTAGTTCTAAAAATTTTGGTTTGTGTTTTATACAAACAGTTCTTGTATTTTACCAGATTAAAATAACCTTAATTGCATTTTTGGTCATACCCGGAACATAGCTGTTAGTATTCTTTGATAAATGTACATTTTACTGTGGCTGAGTGTTTTATACACAATAATTGCAGCTGCAACTTGCAGACTGCGATATGAATTTCCTAGGTTGACGTAGATGTGCGCCCAAGATCAAGGTTCAGCATGTTACAGTGTAGAGTGTCATATTACACAAGACTAACACCTGTTGCCACATCATTTCGCCGACAGATGACACGGACAACAGTGGAATATTACATTTTGTGGTTTAAGATTTATAGGTAAAATGAAATATACAAATATTTTTTTCCTATTCTAAAGTATCTACTGTAGCTGGATAGGTGAGTGGTCAGAGTGCCAGCCTAGTTATCACGAGGTTGCCAGTTTGATCCTAAGAAGTGGCTAGAACGACCTTTTTAGTGGTTCGGATCTTGATTCAGTATTCCTTGATCATATAATCTTTAAATGTAATGATGATATTTAATGATCTTTAAATTTAAACTTAACGAACAGCTCCATAAATAGCACTAATGACTTGTGACTAATGACTAATGACTAATTCGTCGTCAAACCAAAAATAACCCAAAAATAACTTGTTAAAGGACCCATGTTAAACTCGCGAAACATTAAATCCGAAACAGAACAGCAGAAATTAAACTCGAATTAACTGTTCAAACTCTTGAAACTGGCACTATGTAAATAATTAAAAAAATAACCCGGCGAAGAACTTAGCTAGAAATTACACTAAAATATCCTGTCACCGATTTAAAAAGACGTTATAGAAAATATAGCTTGAACGTTTAGTGGCTTTGCTCACCGGTGTGTAATCCAAGACCAACTGGAAATTGCATAAAAAAACTCGACAAAAGAAACTCCATCCAAAAACACCCTTTAATCTTTTATTTAATATCAATAACTCCTTCATCGAATATAACTAAAAAAAATCTTTTTTCCCACATCCACCCGACAAAGTGGGCTTGCACTGATAGTACAGAAAACTGCTAATTGCTGCATTTACTTTGCCACAACGTTTTTTTGTCACCCACCAGATTCCAACCAAACAACACAAAACAGCGTGCCTTTATATTCATGTACGCGTGAAAATAAGTTGTCAACAAAGATATTACGACTACGAACAGCTAGTGAAGCGTTTCCCATTTCGTTCAATGTTTGGATTTAGCCCAACATGTTGTACAGTGTTTGAAAGACTAATTATTTATAGTAACCGTAGGAAAAATATAATGTGTAACACGAGTGCAAACTGCCTTTGCTGCACTAGAGAAACTTTCTACACTCGCCTACAGCTCGTGCGTAAACATCTCTCGTGTGCAGCAAAGTACCACTTAGCCCACTAGTTACACAACTATTCGTGTCTGCAGCAGTAGAATCTTGTAAGAATGAAACCCAAAAGTTTTGAAAGAAAATCTGTCCGCAGTTTAAAACGTGTTATTCATTTATCCACAACACGTTTTGGATTTTATCTTTTTGAATTTGGATAATTTACGGTTATGCAAATCCGCCTCTCTCGCACTAAGTCCAAGACGTTAACAACTAGAGCTAAAAGCTTTTAAAAGTCAAGTCAACAAACTCACCAGCGTGTGATTTGAGACCAAGGTGGATACGATGTCTGTTCTGGCGTCGTACACCCTCAACCCTCCGTCATCCCCCTGGAACACGAAGTGCCTGTGGGATACCCAGGCCGGGGGGAGGCGAGAGGGGCAGAGCTCCCCCTGCAGGTACTCGTCCAGGGTCATCCTTCGACCACTCCAGTACAGCAGCTCGTCCACGTAGCCCAGGGTGTGGATGGCCGTCAGGATACCTGTTGACAACGATATCATACTGTAGTGTTATTGGCATGGATGTGTCTTTACATTGCGTTGAGTCATAGACGAAAATAGTCGAATAAAATAAACGAGGGGACCCCCGTATAAAGCAAAAAGAATAATGCAATATTTTTTCACCTTTCAAAGATCTTGTTTGTTTGAAACAATTATTAGGTGAAAAAAAACATAAAAAAATGTTTTGTTGTATATTTATATCATTTAGATTTACCCGCATCAATAAGGTTATATAATGTCTGTATATATGTCTATTACTATTTAATATAAAAACTACTAAACTGACTGAGCTTAAACTTTACAAAATTATAGCTACCATACCAAGGATGGTCATAGGACTATACACACTTTGATACTGACCGTGGGCTTTGCCCCTTTGGCTTTCAAAGTTTTGAAGTGAGGATTTTAAACGTAAATATTGATTGGTCTCCATGGCTGCAATGAGAAAATTCACAATGTTTACATGTTCTTTGACATTTCAATGTAAACAAGAAGAACTGCCAAGTTTCTAATTTCACAATGTCAGACAGCTGACCCAAAGAACTTAAATATAATAATATTTTGTTTCTGAAAGAGTTAGCGGATTTGTAACTATTTTATACAAAAGATGTAAAGATCAAAATGTTCATATTTCGTGTCCCCCTCCCGTTGCAAAGCACGGGTACAACAGCTGGTTATCATTAAAAGTAACCTAGGACATTTAAACTCCATTTTCACTCTTGTTTAATATCTGACTATCTATAGTTAATATTCAACTGAAGGATTACCTGTTATTGAATTGCAATTCACATTTTAAACCGCAATAAACAATTGTCAGCATCACTAGATCTTTGAAATTGATCTCTTGAAATAACTAAAACGGTAGGGGACGAAGCCCTAAATGGAATTGCCTTTTAGTCACCATTCGTTGTATTAAGTATAGATATTCCTATGCTTGTATGATGCTTTAGGTTATATTTTGTCCCATAAATAAAAGAAGCCGAAACGAGTGTTATCACAACTACTTCTGTTTATATTTTTGTTTTTCAGTCTGTTGGCAATGAACCAAAACATGAACTCATGGTAGGCTATGGTAGGTATGACTCATGGTGAGTAGGAGGGGCGGTGATCGAGAACCAAGTTGGATCTGCGCATGAGTAGGCGTGGCGGTGATTTGGCAGGGGTAGTTTTCTAGGGGTGGTAGATACAGTAAATCAATTTCTAGCTGTTAGGGGTAG